ATAAATGTCCAGGGATGTGCAAAGGAAGAGGCAAAGAGTTGTATGGCCAACCCACGAATGAATGCATCATTCTAAAGCGACACAGCTGGGGAGAAACAAAGACCGAACGTGATGACAATGCAGGGATGTCTTTGCCTACAGAAGTTCTACTAAACTCATTCACCAGAGAGCCAGTCTTTCCTCTTCTATCTCATCTGTGGCTCGTCCTCCCTAGAATCAGCCCAGTTGTCAGCCTTTGCCTAAAACCCAATGTTCATTGAAAGATGACATGGAAGTAAAGAGAGTCACCAGAATAGCTAGAGGAAATGTTTTTAAGGTAATGCAAGTGGAAGCAATATGAGTCGCTTCACGAAGTGGTCTCTTCTGAGCCTAATTACCTGGTCACCTTCATCTGCAGTATCAGCAGTGGTCCAACGGCGCCCTCTTGGGGCTCTTCCCTTCCCTCGCTCTCACACAGTCCACAGAGTAGAGTTCACACAAACAAAAGGCCTTAATCTAAGAGACCGTCTGCTTTCTGGGTCTTGGCTTCCTCATGTGCAAAGTGAACAAATTAGTCTAGAAGGTCTCCAAAATGCCCTCTAGCTCTAAAATTCTATCTGAACTCTACATTTTTATATATGGATAAAATAAAACTTAAAGCAATTACCCAGTCTGAGAAGTGCTGCAAGTTCTGAAAGGCCAGGTGGCTATTTGTCGAATGAATCAATGTTGTCTTGTATGCAGGATGGCACACACAGCAACCAAATAAGCTGCTGCTTCTCTACTGCCTGGTACTGAGTATGGGACAAATGTTTGGTATGGCACAAATGAAGTGATTCCTAAACTGCTTGCATCCATCCTTCAAATATACCTGACTTGGGGCCCCAAAATTGGATAAACTCATTGCTTCAGCACCACCTCCCTCCCTGTGCAATGTGAAACTTTACTGATTCATGGACTGTGCCTGGCTAGGCTCATGGAAATCATGGTAAAATGGAAACATTTATTTTCACAGGGAAACTTGGTTTGGGTTACTTGCTATTTTCTGTTCAAAGAAGAAGAACCCTTGCATGCAGCTGTCCAGGTTAACTATGTTTCTCTATTGCAGAGGGAAATGGAGCTCCTGACTATTCCCTCCTGGCCTCTGTTTTCAAGAACACAGCTCTGAGTGTAAAGTGGTTGACAGTTGTTATTTACTAAACCAGGCCTTGGACATGCAATCTCCTGGGTTGTCAGTGTAAACAAGTTATTCCTAAACAGTGGCACGGCCAGCATTAGGAACCAGGAGGCAGGGCAAGGCAATTTATGGTATCCATTCCCAAAGCTGCAGAGAAATACAACTTCACAAAACCGCTTTAGCAGTATACTTTGCTGAGATGTCCCAAAGCACATTTTCAAGAACCTGCTCTTGCCCAACTCTTGGGCTGGTCACAGTGGTCTCCCTCACTTTGGTGTCTTCACCCCAAGGAAACAGTGAACAGAGGTGTCCTTTGGATTCTCCCCTAGCCACCCATACAGTTTCCAGGTCTGTAAATTTGGCCAAGGAACTGCTGTAAGAGTCACAATATGGTACAAGAGACATGAGCTTGTTAATAACCCTAAGAAATGTAAAAGTAAAAAGAGAAGAGGATGGGAGAGTTTAGGAGGGGGGGGAAGAGGACAGGGAAAGATTAACCTGTTATATTTATGTCCTAAAACATATTTTTCTTTATTTTCTTATTTCTATTTGTATTATTTTGAGATGGGGGGGGTTCTCAATGTGTAGCTCTGACTAATCTTGTGCTCCTGAGCACAACTGATCTTTCTGAGTACCGGGGATGACATGCACATGTCTCTGAGGCCTTATTTTTATTTTCGATTGACACATAATGATTGCACATATTTATGAAGTTATAATATGACGTTGCAATACATGGATCCATTGTGTAATGATCATATCACGGTAATGAATGTGTCCATCACTGTAAACATCTATCATTTCTTTGTGATGAGAACATCAAAAATCTTCTAGCTATTTTTAAATACATACTGCATTGCTGTTAACTACAGTCACCCTACGGTGCAACAGGACACATAGAATGTACCCCGTCCCACCTGCAACTTTGTACCTATGAACTGACCTCTCCTCATCCTGTCCTCCCTCCACTCTCTCCAGCATGTGGAGCCTCATTCTACTCTCAACATCAATGAGATCAACTTTTTTAGATTCTGTGTATGAGTGACATGGCGCACTATTTGTCTTCTGTGCCTGATTTATTTCACTTGCTATAATGTCCTCCAGGCTCAACCATGCTTCTGAAAATGATAGGATTTCATCATTTTATGGCTGATTAGCCTTTCACTTTGCATATATGCACCACAATTTCCTTATCCACTCTTCTAGTAGTGGACATTTAGGTTGATAACATATCCTGGCAATTGTGAATAGTGCTGCAGTGAACATAATAGCACAAATCTTTCTTCAATATCCTGATTTCATAGGGCAGGGGATTTAGCTCAGTGCCTCACAAACACAAGGTCCTGAATTTGATCCTTGGTACCGGAAAAAAAAATCCTGATTTAATTTCCCTTGGATATATACCCAGTAGTGTGATTGCTGGATCATCTAGTAGTCCTATTTTTAAATTTTTTATGAACTTCCATACTGTTTTCCATAATAGTTGTACTAATTTACATTCTCACCAACAGTCACACAGCCTTTTTTAGAATGTATTTTGCTATCAAACCTCTTTTTAGTATAAAAGTTATTAAATCCTGCTGAATTAGACTTTTGCAAATGTTCCCACTTGGAAAATATTGGGCCAGACAATCTTTGAAGTTGTCCTAATTCTAAAAATTCTAAATCCTGTTTATATATCTTCTAAAGCATAATTCTGATCATATTTTTTTCCTTGCTCATAACTCTTCTGTGATTCCCACCTATTTGCAAAGTCCAAATTTCTGGGGGGCATTAGAGGTGGCAGTTAGGAAGGGCAAAAAAAAAGTCCAAATTCCTTAGTTGGGCATTCCAAAATCAACCTGTGGTGGATTAACTAATGATCAACTTGGAACGCCCAGTTGAACTGAGTCAGTACAGTTCTGGGTGTGGAAGACCCACGTGAGGATTGTTGACAATGGCATAAAAAGAGAACTGGAAGGGAAGATTGTATGCTGTTCATTTTCTTGGAGAAGCTTGCTGTGCCTGGGTTTCCTGATACAAGCTTAACTGTTCTCATCATCAGAAGAGCTCGAGTTCAGGTCCTCACTGTCACCAGGGATGGCTGCTGTTCTCATCGAGGGAGCTCTGGTCTTCACCTTGAGCATCGCTTCCTGGCTGCATGTAGATCACTTAGCCTGATGGCACAGAACCTTCACCCTGCCAGTGCAGACTTTCTAGCTTCCACCACTGGCCCTGGGGCCTTCCTGGTGCAGAGCCTCATATGGACTTGCAGGAGACACTGCTGTGGGCTTTAGGCCTTTGCACTCGTGGACATTGCCTTGGGATCTAGACCTTCAGCTGGACTTGTGCGGGATATTGCTACAGAATCCAGGCCCAAGCCTGGATCCTTCGGGTCTCTGGTGCATGGACAGATCTCTCGCACTCCTCTGCATTTGACCTTTTGGGTGAATATTATAAAACAATCCTGTAAATTATGTGTCCTATATTAAATCTATTCCCTTGTAAACTCTGACTACAACACAGCCCTAACAAACCTTTCTGGTCTCAGTTCCTTTCCTTCCCATTCACAGGTTTCTGTTTCCTTCTAACTCAGTTTCCACTGATCCCTTTTCAGGTTTCTGTCCATGCTGCCATCTTCAGTGGAAATGTCTTTCCCAGTCTTTGTGTGTACAAACACAATCCACTTCATATACTGTGTTCAAAGCCACCACCTCCAGGATGAACACTTCTCTATATTGAGAGCTCTTAGACTAGACTAGGTCTTGGGGGTCCTTGTGAAGAATTAATCCTATACATGACTCACTTCCCCTAGAATTCTTAAATGGACAGTTTTACTTGCACATAATAGATGCTAATTAAAAGAATAGTGTGAAGGGCAAATGGTTGATGTAATGAAACCAGAAACAGAAAGCAGAAAGAACAGTGAATGCAGGACCTGTTGCAGTTCTGCCATCCACACTAGTGTTTCGGGATATCAAGAGACCAAAGAGGCAGATGGGTGATACAGGAGGATTTATTCCAGGTATTAGGTGTACACTGGTACAGTGGACTAATGTCCAAAGGCCAAGCCCAGAACAAAAGAAAGGCTCCAGTTTTATATATTCGGTTGGTGGGAAACTGGAGGGAGGGGGTGAGGTTATAGAGGTGAGACAAAACAGTCACTCTGTGATAGCCTTGTAACTTATCCTTGAAAGAAGACAGAGCCTTCAGAATCTTGTGAAAACAGTGTCATAAACTTTGTTTAAGGGACATAGTTGCCAATTTTATCTGTACCAGAATGAGGACTTACAGGTAAAGGGAGTGTGGGGGGGGGGGATCTGAAAGGGGGGGACTGCCCAAGGCTGAGAAAAACTTATCTAAGTCCTGCTTTACTAGGAGACTCTGTCCATTTGCTTCTCTGCTGAGAGCTCTGTGACCTCGGTGCTAAAAAAACAAGGGAGGTGGAAGGAGCCACTGGCCTCCTGGAGCTGAATATTCTGACATGTTTTGATTTATCTGCCTTCCAAAGCAATCTGGGTTTGTTTGTTTGGGGGGATCGAACTCAGGACCTTGCACTTTTGAGGCAGGAGGCGGAACCACTGAACTAAATCCCTGGCCCTAAAGCAATCTGTTTTAACAAGGTTTCTAGATGATTCTGATGCATCCTAAAGTCTGTAATTATAGTTGGAACTAAATGTATTATCATATGTCTATAATTTCATCTTTCAAAGATAAAAGTGTAATTGGTTCTCTTCTCACTCTCTTCTGTTATCACCACTACATGACCCACTCCAAAGTGGGTGATGCCAAATACCTTTGGTCTCTTGCCTTTAACTGCTGCCAGCCACTCAAACATTCCTCAAACTCTGCCCATCTCTTACAGATGACCCAGAAGATCCCTGCAGATCCCTGGCTTGTGGTGAATTTGCCCAGTGTGTGAAGAATGAGCAGACTGGGGCTCAGGGAAAAGGAGCTCCATGCAGGTAGGTCAAGCGCACTGATGTCACTCACTACATGCTACTTCCAAGAACCCTAGTGTGGGAACAAATCCCTCTGACTAGGATTCCCAGCTGCCCTGAGCATCAATGCTAGCTGCAGGGGAGATGTGAAGATTCGCACTTCTCTGCAGGGCAGTGGGGTGGGCAGCACTCAGGAGAGGCAGCACCGCAGTACAGCTGCCACATGGAGCCCTGCTCCAGGCTCAGGGCAGGATTTCCCTAGGTGACACAGGAGACAGAGACCCCAGACAGTCTGCAGACAGAATGTGTCTACCCTACACTGTGCATGTGTGTTAAAATGCAAAGAGTTTTCCCTCTTTGCAAGCATGACAGCTTTCAAAATAAGAAAGCTAAAAAAAATACAGAAAATTATAAGAAGATAAATGCTTTGTGTAATTTATCACATTAACTGCTATCTTTTGATGTCCATATTTATATCATTGGAATCTGACTATATAAAATGGAATCAGACTGACTTGTTTTGTAATCAGCTTTTTTCAACCTAGAATGTTTCCACCTGTTATTCAATATTTTCTATTTTAATCCTATATTAGTTCATTCCCTTTCTTTCTTTTCTTTCCTTCCTTCCTCTTTCTCCCTTTCTCCCTCTTTCTCTTCTTTCTCTTTCTCTCTTTTTCTCTCTCCTTCCTTCCTTCTTTCCTTTCTTCCTCTTTCTTTTCTTTTCTTTTCTTTCTTGTCCTGAGGAATGAACCCAGGGCCTTCACACTGAGCTACATCCCCAGCCCTTTTCAATTTTTTTTTCCTGTTCTATTCTTTTTTTTTGAGACAGGGTCTAAGGCTCCCAGAGTGCTGGGATTACAGGCTTGGGTTACCAGGCCTGGTTTAGGAGTTGGTTTTCTAGAAGTCTCTTGATGTGTTTAGCCAGACATTCATTCCTGGACAGAAGGGGTAACAGAAGCTTTTTGGAAGGAGGAGAAGAGAAAGAGGTGGGATGCAAGTGTGTTTATATGCACAAACCAGACCTCAGTGAGTAGTAGGTGGCCTTAGGACAACCATGCAACACAACACCACCACTTCTTCTCCTGTCCTGTGAGGGAAACAAGGACTGCATGTGGACTGGTCCTTCCCTCAGAGTGCTGCTCCAGCGAGAATGCCACCCACCTTTCCCAGTAGCTGCCACCAACCAGCACTTATCAGGGTGCTGCTTGGGGCTCACTGCCTGGACCCACAGCAGGATCAGATCGGCCTGGTTCGCTTTGCTACTGCTCGCTCTAGTGGCTACAGGCCCTTATTTCCCACCACAGGGACTCAAATGGAGCCACAAAAAGCTAAAGTGACTTAGCCTCTGTCTTGGCTAAACATATCCTGTTTGTCTGAAGTCTTAACACTTTAAAAACAAGCACCTGATCATGGTTAGGAAGCAGTATTCTGAAGTCAGACTGTGGTTAGAATTTCAGCCTAGCAATTTAATAATCAAGTGCCCTTGGACAAATTAACTTCTCTAAACCACAATTTCCTCATTCTGTAACTCAGATTCATACCACCCATCTGTTGGATTACCTCAAGAAATATATGAAGTGATGCTTAGCAAATGTTTTTACAAAGATTAGAAAGCACAGAGTATGCACTCAGGGAAGTGGAAATGCTGCTGCTTCTGTGAATTTTCCCCAAGTGAGTCACAGCTTGAGCCCTTCGTGGAGTGTGGCATTCTGGTTCTAAAGTTCCTCTGGAAATGAAAAGTACAAAAGAAAAATCTTGAAGTACAATGATGAGGGGTTTCTCTGTAAGACAGCAAAATGTACATAAAATAGTACTTAGAACTAAGACACTGAAGTAGGCACGGAGACTAAGACATGGAGACAGACCATAGGTAAACAAAATAAATATAAGCTACAAAAATACCCTTCCATTGTTGAGTGTCCCTCCTGGATCCTGTGACCTGCTCCCACTCATTTCTATTCCTCACAAGATGCCATCATTTATGTGACTCTGACAATTATATAAGCATCAGTTGACAAAGCATAATCAATCATGGATCAGACATTGGTTAAAACTAGAGACTGTAAAGTTAGAGCCAAGTCCTAATTTGAGCTCTGGCCTGAGTTAGGTACAACATTAAGCCACACATTTTTCCCTTTAAGCTTAAAACTTCTTGTCTATATAACTGGGTATTAGGAATAAATTTGTGGGTTTAGGTAAGGAATAAATTAGATACCCCTCAGTATAAAGTACTCAGCTACTAGCATTATGGGGGCTGATTCTACCAACAAAGACCAGCGATGTAAGGTAATGCTGAGATTCCCCTAGCTGGGCATGGTAGTGCACACCTGTAATCCCAGCACTCTGGGAGGCTAAGGCAAGAGGATACCAAGTTCCAGCCCACCCTAGGCAATTTAGTGACTTAGCAAGATTCTAAATCAAGATAACAAACTACAAAAAAAAAATTTAAATTTCCTAGCTGGCACTTTAAACTCAGAAGCAAATGTCAGAACATCATGTAACTGTGAAGAAAGCATTCTCTAAAGAAGTTTGTCGTTCTACGTGGAAGTGAAGAGATAGGAGAAGAATATTGAGCGCAAGTACTTTACTGAGAACCCAAGAGAAATTTCAGTTGGTTCAGTTGTCATTCTACTGCAAAGTCACAGTCATTCATTATATTTTCACTATGGTTTTCCTTCTAGTCTTTTCTTTCATTCAGTATTCATGACTAGACTCCACACCTTTGTTTCCCTCAATTCAGATGTTCTATACATTACCAGTAGATTGATATACTAGAAATTCCCTTGCAAAATTCTCCCAGGAATAAACAAAACTTTCATTTTCAAAGGTCTTTTTTGCTTAATGAGTTTGACTTTCATTAATCACAATTATCATTACACATATATAGAAAATGCAAAGCTACATCTAGCAAATTATGACTTTTCAAATCCAAAGATTTTCACTTTTGTCTTTTAATAGGCTCATCTGATCTGTGGCATTATTTATAATAATGAAACTGTTTCCAATATAGGGACCAACTTAAGTAAATCACAGTAGAAAGTGATATTTATGAGGAAGTTTTAATAATCATGGAAGCATTAAACTACAAGGCAGTCACATGATTGCCCACATTGTAGAACTCAGGTGGTGCTGGGAAGGTGGAAGTGCACTGTTCCTTCTAGATATCTGTTCCTAACTTCCTTTGGAGAGCTTTCTCCACTGGACAAAGAGGAGACTGGGGAAGAGGGAAGTGGCGGGGTTCAGTAGAGTTCAATTCCAGTTTTAAAACCTCATCTGGTTAATAATGTGAGCATGTTAGGCAAAGGTGAAGGTGTGCTTCTCCTGGTCACCAGGTCATTTGAGAAGCTTCTAGTGTTGTCTTCCCCTCACTTGGAATCTCTTGGTTCTGATCCCAGGCATCTACCAGTCCCCTAGTATTGTTAAAGTTTTCATATCTCTCAACCTGGGCAAGTAGGAACCAAAAGTGCTGCCTCTGAGGGTGAAAGGGGGAACAAGGAACTTATTGAGCAACCCCCTTCTAGGACATTTCCAATCCCTACCCCAGTCTTCTTTCCACCAAGCAATGGGAGTGGGATAGGGTTTTCCCTCCTTCCCCCTTTCCCTGAAATTACACTGGACAGAATGTTGTGAGAAATAAAATGGTCTACCAGTAAGGGAGTATGTATAGGACAGTATCCTCAAACGCTATGCCTATTATGTAATGAGGAAAAATACAAAATGCAAAATATGTATGCACCATCACAGAAATTATGTAATGCATTCATATGGAATTATATACATCAAACTTTAAAATAATTTTCATTTTTTAATTTTATGAACAAAATACTATTGTAATTGTTTTTCAGCAACTAAATTCAGAAGTTGACTTGAAAAACAACTCCTCATTGCAAGATGAATTTGTCCTCTCATCTCTCTCATCAGTTTCCTTCAATCCTTCTGAGACCACTGACCAAGAAATCTTAGTTTAAAAAAAGGAAAGCAAAAGTTTGAGTGTAGAAAGCATTTTCCTCCAGCTCTAATGAAAGACACATGCAAAACTATGCTATTCATATTCACTTTTCACAATTTCTAAAATAAAGTAGTAGAGAGCTGTAGTCTCTATTAATCCCCAGAAGTAAGGTATTATCCCTTAACAATATGCAAGAAGAATTTGTATCTCTCAAATCAACCTCAACCTCCAAGGATTAATGTTGTTGATAAGACCAGGAAATTGGATGTCATGTTTTTGTTTTCCTTTATAGGTCAACAGATCACTCTAAAAACCAAGTACATGAAACACATGGTAAAAATTTCCAACATCTGCAAAATAAGGTAAAACTCTACCTTCCTTTCTTTTATAAGCTGGTTTTTAAAATTTATCTTGTTTTTTTTGAGACAGTGTTTCCCCACCTGCTATGCAGCCCAAGCTGGTCTCAAAGTGGTGATCCTCCTGCCTCAGCTCCCATATGATGGGATTGCAGGCAACTGCCACCACACCCAGCATTTCTACATTTTGGTTTCAGTTACTGAATTTGAATTTTGAAGTAAATTTAAAACTTTTCTGTACTTAATTGTTTTAAGAATAAAGCACTTTTATTTGGTAGACTTTTTAAATTTAGTGTTGTTAAGAGGAAACAGTTTTTTCTTCATGCAAGAGACAGAAACTGTCATTAACTGAAATAAGTACATAAAATAACAGAAACAATCCAAGTATAACATTCCCAGCCTTTTCTTGTAAAAATATACGTGTGGGTAATCAAATATGTTTCAACAAAGCTGAAATTTTCACAGTAATAATATTCTTATAGCACTGAAAAATTTCATAGGAACTACTGAAATTTAATATCAAATAATAATCGCCAAACACAAAAACATGTTGAAAAATATGTATAAGAAACATGATTTGTGAACAATGAGGAACTTCAAAAGTTTCCAAACTTCAGGTAATGTTTTCACGTCCTAGATGTCTTTTATACTCATCCAGTTAGTCAATTTATTTTACTAAGGTAATTTCGTCTTACAAAGGGAAATAACTTGTATACTGCCAGGTTATATATAGCCTACATAGAGCTTTAGAGTTTTTAAAACAACTTTCTGAAAAATATTGGACATTTTTAGCCTAAAATTACCTATTTTCAAAACTGGTACTGGCCTCTGATGCTAACAATGTCTGCCTTACCCGAGATCTGCAGTGCTGGACAAAACACAGCTTCAGAGCCTGCACCTGAGAAAGCTGCCAGGGTGCAGTGACCGAGCACACCAAATACGACCATAACTGCAGAGACCCAATTGCATACTGGAATACCACACACTTTTTTAACTTTCTGGAGCTAAGAAAATTAGAAAAACATAAGAAGTTTAGACTACGACTATATAATGATGATAGGACACAAGGATCTGATATTAACATATTCAGGAAAACGTAGACACCAGACACATCTTGAATGGAGTTAAAAACCACATCTCAAATAAGGAAGGTTTGCCGCTAACAAAGGGAGTGATTTTTCTCATGGTAGGAAGCACACTTGAAGAACTACATCTAAGCTGAAGGCAGTAATGACAAAGGCTAAGTGCCAATGCTGATTATTCAAGCTGGACCACTGTGCTGAGCAAGAGTCAAAGGACACTGTGTCCCTTGAGGAAGGGTTATCATAATGGGTGAATGATCCTGCTACAGTTGGAAGGGAACATGGTGGATTGCATGTACAGACTATTCGCCATCCCTGCTCCAAGAGATGGATCAGTCCAAAAATCTAAATAGGTGTAAGAAAAGATAGGTTACATTTCTGGTAGAATATCTGTTCCTAGAACATCTGGAGGACAGCTCCAGTCTTTCAAGGAAGATCTGCTGCATGGCAAGCACACCCTCACACCCACCAGAGAGGCGAATGTAGAATAAACCATGCTTTGATTGTGAGTGGCCTTTCTGAAATTCTTACAAGTATTTCTCTTCTAGATAACCAAGAAAAGAAATTCTGAATTACTGGCTGCAGGATTTGAAGAATTTAACCATCAAGATTGGGAAAGAAATTAACCACTGGAAATGTACAAATTACCACTTAAGCTATCTCAAGACAGATGATTTGCTTTCCCAAGGAAAACCATAGCTAGTCTGTCAAAATTGTGGAAACAGGCAGGCATATTCAACAGTCACCAGAATCTGGACAGATAGTCAACCCAGAATCAGCACATACCAGCTTTTGAGTATGCAAGTCATTTACCTGACAACTAGTAAGCCCTGAAGAAAAAGACACTTTTTATCAAAATCCAGAATATAATCAGTGAAACATATTTCAATTATTGTTGGATGATAATTAAGGTGATAGTAAGCCAAGTTTTCTTCTAGATGCCTTTAAAATATCATTCAAAAATCATGTGCAACAAATGCAATTCACTGTTTTGGGAGTTGAGCAATATATCAGGAAGCAAGGTCTTAATAGAATATATATATATACAAACCCATAATCCCAGAACTCTGGGAGGGCAAGACAGGAGGATTGTTGTTCAAGCCTAGTCTGAGCTACTTAGGGAGACCCAGTCTCAAAATTAAAAATTTTAAAACCTGGGGCTATAGCTTAGGGTGAAGGCTCTGGGTTCAATCCACAGTATCAACACAAAAAAATAAAGTCAGTAGATAGATACATAGATGATATATAGATGATCACTTATGCAAGGAGACACAGGTCTCTGAATGCACGAGTGTGTGGTAGTACAGAAGCACAATGATGAGTGTATACATGCTCCACACTACAATGTCTGATACACACATGTACACACAGCCCCGTCAGTCATTTTTAGGTACAAGGGCTTTGTATAAGTACTGCTTACAGATTATTTTATTGACAATAATTTCTGAATTGTTCTTTTAAAAAGGAACTGAAGTTCAAATATACACAACACTGTTTTAAAGGACCACTTTTGGCAAGTAGTGGAGAGATGGTTTTACTCTATGACATGATTAATTCCTGTCTTCACCAGATGAACAATGTCCTCCTAAAATAACTTCAGTGAATACTTCCTCACACTAATTTTGCTGTGCACATACCTAGATTGGCTTCAACATATCTTCATCCCATTTTTACTGTGCTAGTCAATGAACAATTAAGGCCTCCACAGCTCTTTCAAACATCTCATTATCAAATATATTTGCTGCAAAATCTTTTCATAAATTTCTAATAAAATGAATCTGTGCTTTAATAGTTTTTCTGGATTTGCTTTATGGATTTGACAAATAATTTTAAGCAGAATATTTTAATGCTGCCAGAAGACAGCAGCAAATAGTAAACACTAAGAGGAACATTTAACAGCAGCTACCAAAATAAAAATAAAATGTTTCCTAATGGTGGAAACAATCTCTTGGGAAGCATTCCCCCATGGAGAAGGGATACATGCGTTGAACATACATTCTTGTGGGTCTCACGCATGCACAGCTTTCACCCTTAATCACCACCCCAGTCCTCCCAAATTGTGAAGATCTAGAACGTGGAATAAGGACTTCAAATCGGACTACAGTAACAAGGTGTCACAACAAAAAACTGGTGGTTAGGGCTGTGCCTGCCCACTGCCATGTCCTGGAAACTTCCCAGAGAAAAGCAAACTCGCCAGGAGCATAACAGGCTGCACCCAGGGAAAAGGTGTCTACCACTCCCCACAATAGGCTCCACACCCTACTTTCAGTCCTGGTCTAACAAGTGCAGCGAATATGGTTTATGGAGAAAGAAAACTTGGTAAACATGATTTTCTCTGTGGACTATCACTCTAGTCTTTGATGGAATGCCTCTTCCTCTCTAGCCCAATCCCAGAAGATCAATAGGCTGAGCAGGCTAGGGAGACAAAGTCTATTTAAAGCCTTCGAAAGGACTCCTTTTGGGACCCCAGTTTTTACATTCTGTTTTCCAACAAGTGTAACATTCACAATTTTGCAAGACTGAGAAAGGAATCAGGGAGGAAAGGAAAGGATAGAAAGAGGAAGACCAAGATTTATCAAAATTTATATTATATACAGCCCCCAACTAATGTAATTATGTACCACAAATACATACCAATATAAAATTTTAAATACAAAAAATAAAAGCACAAGATACAACAAAATTCTACGTAAGAAGCCTCTATTTGTATTTCTAGTAGTACATCAGAATTAAGGAAATTATTAGATATACATTTTCATAAAATGAGAAAAAAATTAACAGTTGCAAACAAATTCTAGAAGTGAAAAGTAGCCAATTAATAAACCTACTTGTGGTTTGAAGGGGACATTCTACATTGGTACAAATTAAGAGATTCTTTATTTGAATGTCCATTAATTTTTCTCCTAAAAAAACTCCTGAGACAACCAAAGTCGCTTCAATGTTAGTCTATCAGGAAGAACACACTGATTAGAACTGGGCTGAACTGTGTTTGGCATTTGGTCCTGACACAACCGAGGGCTCCTTCTCGAAGTGTCTGTGCTTTGCCTACCATGAGCCTCCCACAAAGAGCACAACTCGCTGCTTTGTCCCACCTGTTCCCCCTACCTGTCCTTCTCACTGTTAGGGCCCCTCAGCCCTCCCCTCACCCCTCCCCTCACCCTTGTAAGTGCATCTTCTGGGAGAAGACTCTCAATTCTTGTTACTATGGTCATGATAAGCAGGGAACGATAACCTACCCCCCCCCAACAAAGTGAAACGACAGAGAAGCAACCTCTCTGTAAATCCAAGGGGTGCTAAAAAGTGCTGGCTTGTCGGGATTCTTTTTACTATACATGAGTGGAACAAAGGCATTCTTTTCTTTTCCATAGTCTAGAACTAAATTACTTTACCTCCAAGGATTTCTTTGCATGTAAGGAAGTAGGTCTGTCGCTCACACTGACTTAACTGATTTCATTCAGCAAATATTCTGCTGATCCAAGCACTCTTCCACCATTTAAGGTAAAGAAATCAGAGAGCTACGTATGTGGATCCCCTGAGAACCACAGTAGTAACCTGTGAGTGAAAATATCTTTCAAAAATATCAAATCAGGGGCTGGGGATGTGGCTCAATGGTAGACTACTTGCCTAGCATATGCAAGACCCTGGGTTTAAACACACACACACACATGCACACACATGCACGTGTGCACAAAAACACACCCAATTAATAAGCTCTACAAATAATAAATATGCATTATTATTATTCTTGCCTGAGGGCTTCTATTGTCTGAACTTCCACTAACATCATCCATTCTCTCCATAGTATCTTTTCTTGGTTACTTGTAAAACAGAAGAATTCACTAAAGGTACTAGAAAGAGAATGACCTAAAAAAGTCAAGATAGAAGCCGAATAAGAGCAATAATAGAATGTCTTTTGTGTCAGCCTACATTCCCACCTTATTTCTTCATCACTTAATCTTGAGAATGGGACATCTCCCCAACTTTAAAACTAAGAAAGCTGTGTTCTTAAGCACATGTAGACTGAAGAAATTTCCTACTTCAGTGAGAACTCCTATTTCACACATATATGTCAGACATGCTGGTGTAATTAGGGTTACATTATAATTGAATTGAATGTGAAAACATTTTGCACCAGCCCTCTAATATTTTGTGCATGCCTTTTTTTTTTTTTGTTAGCACCAGGGATCAAACTCAGGGCCTTGCACTTGTGAGGCAGGCGCTGGAACCACTGAGCTAAATCACCGGCTCCATCATGCCTACTTTTTTATGCTTCCCATACACCATGGAAGGAACTGAAGGAACTAGTACTGACAAGTGTTAAGACCGGTGAGACCACATTATGAGATTAGTTCTTTATATGCAGGACATGGGTTTAAACTTTTAAGCTTCAATTAAAATGAATGATTAGAAATATGAGCTGATTAACTTGATTCTTACAGTTTTCAAGCATTTGTAGGTTTGATTGTGAACATGACCACCATTTCTGTTATTTCCCCTACAAGGCTGTCAAGGTCCTAAGTTTCCCCACCAAAGTGTCTCCAGGGTGAATGCTCATCTATTGTATGTAGGTTACCCTAAGTCTATCTGAATTAGGGCAGTTTTCCTACATGGCAATGCAAAACTAACTCAAGAGACAATTTTAAGCAGACAACTTCTAGGTCAGCTGGGTGACATAATTAGAAACAAAAGAGCTTAAGATTAAGTATGATTTTATTAACTATCAGTCAAAAACTAAAAGGACTTTCAACAATCTTTTACTATATTTCTTACAAATGCCACAAAAACATTAAGTTCTCTCATTATAATATTTTAACCTTTTTAATTTTTCATCTAGTGCCAATTCATGTATCTAGGATATACATAAAACAATTTCTGAAAACAGTAGACAGGTCGTTAAAAATCAGTTTGGTTACTAGATTTTTTTTCAAGGATTTACTTATTACTGATTAAGAAATAAAGCATGCCACTCACTTTCCTACACAAATAAAAACACCAATTAAAGGTATAAAATAGGAGAGAGTAAACAGGTCGTTTATTTCAGTAGCTACACCTTATGTCCCCAATCACCAAATGACCCAAGGATGGGTGAGTCTGAGCAGTAAAACAGCCACCAAAGATAATCACATTCACACTTTTCGCTAACAGCACAGACAAGGCCATTGGACTTCCTTACCACAAGGCAATCATTGGTACAGTATGATAATAAATAAATATTTCTGTAGTAAGACATTATTAAGAGAGGAGCAACTCTGAAAACTATCTGTGACTCCCAAACATTAATCTAGTCAGCTGGAAAATATTTTCCTAACTGAGGTATCTTTCTAGGAAAAAAAAAAAAAAATCACTGAAACTTCATTTCAAAAGTTGGGGTATTTAAAAATCAGGGAAAAAAGTGCAGAGAATAATTTTATTTTCTAGTTTTATTCTAAAATACAAACAAGACTCTTTAGGATTGTGTCAACATAACTCCCTGATGGACTTTTGTCTCTAAATTCCTAATATGGAAAGTCATAAATATTAGGCTTAAAACTGCTGACATTTGATCAAAACTAACGACACGCAAGGAAAACTTTTTTTTTAAATTATCTGTTACATGAAACAAGCAATTATTAAGTACATGGGCTTTTGAATTACAAAGCTTATAAAACAGCTCTACACTTACCAAAATCTCAAAAGGCCAAAAAAATGACACTAGGAATTAAAAAGATATTTGAAACAAACACCAGCTTAAAACATATGAGATTCTCATACAAAAAACGCAATTGAGGTGAAGCTGAAAGAGTATTTGAATTCGGTCCAGCTAAGCCAAGTGCTACCTAAGCTGTTTCCCTTTCTAAATGAAACAAAACTTATCCCAAAACTTTTAAATGTCTAAACAATCTGAATTTTCTTTATTTGTACGTGAAATATCAAAAGAATATTCTGATGGCAGCACACAGTTTGACAGAAAAGAAAACCAAATCAGTGCTGGGCACTGTGAGTAGTACTTCCTTTATCACAGAACATACTAAATAAATTAAGGTATTTCCAGAATTCTAGCAGTTAATAAGAACTGCTTCACCAAACTAAGACACACTGCAAAGGAGGGGGGAGGGACAGAATTTCTACTGTCGGTGGTAGTATCTGTAAATTTCTGAAAAAGCAGAGAAAATACACAGCTTTTAAGATGCTTTTCAAACATCAATGCTGTAATCATTTTAAATGCCTTAATTCTTTGAAGGAATTTAAGCTAATGTTGCATTACTCCAGTTATAAGGTACTATGTCTTTTGAAATATTTGTAAAATTCTCTTTTCCTTGAGAACAATCCCGAAGGACTTAAGGTGGTCTGCTGCCAAAGACTGAGAGAGGGTGGAATCTGCCCACGCCTGACAAGCTTCAGAAAAAGGTGGGGATGAAGAGCTATAACTGGATAAAGGAAACAATTGCCAGGTCCCCAATTCACTCCCACAACCTTAATTAAGCTTAAATTAACGAAAGACCACGATTAGTACAATCTATTCGCTTTGCGCGAGTTATTCTAACGCGAGCAAGGGAGGGTTCACTCCCCGGGTATGCACGTTTCCTTCCCTGGGCCTCGGCCAGCAGCCAGATCAGCGGCAGCACTACTTGAGCAGGTTCTGCAGCATGGCTGTCGCATAGGTGGGCCGCGCCTGCCTGCTCTCGATAGCACTCTGAAGGTACTGGATGCCTCCGCAGCGCTCCCAGATCTCTTCAAACTGTCTCGGCAAAATCTCAGCGCCCCGCTTCCGAGTGAGGCCCGTTTCTTCGAGGTTCAGCTCACACATCTCCATGTCATCCTTACCTGCACACCGGAGACATCGAAAAATTACCTTCTCTCTTTTCAGAGTGATTTTATGAGCTTTCTTCCAGAAATGCCCATCAATTCTCACAAATCTGAGAGCTTTGTAAGACTTTATTTTCTCTAGGTCGGAAATGTGCTTAATAAATTCACCAGAAAACAAATTTGCCCCCACTAAAGACCCTTTAAAAATTTTTGAACACCACAGTTGATCAAAAAAGTCATCGGGGGCCGGGGATTTAGCTTAGTGGTTTCGCCGCCTGCTGCGCAAGCTCAAGGACCCAAGTTCGATCCCTGGTACCCCACCCCCCAAAAAAAGTCATCGGGTTAATAAAAACGATACACATCTTCAAGCTATTAGAAGAGAGCAGATATAAATAAACATCGATGGAAAGTTTCTTAGGATACAGACAACTTTCTGTGTGCTCTACAAGGACATAATTAAGCAATTTCACATTATAAATCAGTTAACCCTCAATTAGCTGAAAATGTGACTTAACAGCAAAACGCCATCATCCAACACTGAAATTTAGTTAATTATACATCAGAATGTAACAAAGGGTTTTTAAACCTTTTTAGTTTCACACAGTTTTTCCTGTGATACACACCAGCCACGAGAAGGATGGGTGGCTTGTCGGGATGGAGCTCCATTTGCCGGGCGATCCAAGGCCCGTCAAAGTGGGCATACCACCAGCCTTTCTTCTTATTCTGTGGGTCTTTGTACTGGTCAGCAGGGCGGATGAATGGGATTCGAAAGAATCGCTGCTGCCGGTTCATTTCGATCTCCTGCTGCCTGGCAGGAAGCTGAGCGGCAGGGTTCTGCTGAGCTATTACACAGAAGACTGAACATTAGAGCAGCAGTTCAGGGGAGGGGAAAACAGCCTTTCACTCCTAAAATGCACCAAGAAACACCCCCCAAAGGGCGGGGAAGAGGTTCCTAATAATAAAATGATTGCCTATAACTGAATACAATTCAGAGTATGATCTCTTAGAACTGTCTTTGTCTTTTCCTAAAGATCTTCCTTGGCACTGCACGTGCGCGCACGCGCGCACACACACACACACACACACACACACGCACACAACCCATCACCACCGCCGCCACCACACCCCCACCATAACCAGGAGAAACAAAACTGTACCATACTCCCACACAGGATTGTTACCAGTAACTTGAAATAGACAAATGGCAGGAATGCAAACTAGTATTATTTACTAGATTTATATTTTTCCTCCAAAGATTTCAAATGAAAGTTGCAAAGTAACTTTTATTGAACCATTTACAATAAAACAAAATAAATAGGAATTTTAAAAATCTGCTGTAATCACAATTACCACAAGTGGAAGCCATGTAAAAATTTTCTTTTACCAACAAATTTGAGGATTTTAAGTGGCCAAAATAACACAGATCTTAATAATAGGCAATGACTAAATAAAATCTCTAACAGTAAACAAACTTTCCCTCCAATGTTTTTACTTACTTCGAAATCAGAGTTCTTTTGGAATAAGATCCACTGAGATAAGAGGAAAGGGTGTAATACTCTCCTTGACAATAGGGAAGAAAAGTCTACTTTCCTGCAAGTACTGTATGAAGCATTCCACTCATGGCAATCTTTCATTTTTTGCTCAATTTTCATTACTGAAAAATTGGGTTATTGTTTTATCTGCAAAAATTAACATTTCCCTGGAGCAATGATTTTACATCTTTAGCAGCATAATTTTGGTAAGCTTGTTTAATATGCTTTATACACGTAATTGTAAAAGCACATCAATCATTTACTGCAGTTCCAAGAATCGCAGTACAGAAATGAAAGTATGTTATTATATAACTTTTATACAGGATACAAAAATCAAGAATAGCTATATGGCTTTTGTAAGAAATTGCAAATACTGAAAGAATGAAAATACTCTTACTCTACTTTTTACACCTAGAAAGAGCAAAAGGGTTGTAGCAGTTGAATATATTTCTTTTCAAATCAGAGAAAGCAAAGGCAATCAGCAAAGCCACATATGCCTATGAAAGAACAAGAAGTCAAGAATTTTGTTAGTGATTTTAAAAGCCCGCATCACCTTTAGCATATTAATAGAAATGTATTTATTTATTCTTTTGTTCCTGTTCCCCTAAAGCTATGGACAGCTCAGAGATTATACTTTAAGTTTTAAATATTACCTTTGCAGAAAATATTCAACATTAAAACCTTCAAAGAGGATTAAAAAAAATTTCCCTCCATCTTAAGAATTAGAACTTAACATCCAGTTGATTGAATGTTAACTGTAGTACTGACAACCATCCACTAATTAACCTATTTTTAAATTTTAAAATAACGTTCTCCTGTTACTTGATATATTGAATAAAATTTAAAAACCAAGCAGTCTTTGATAGGCTTTTCTACTAAGGGACAAATTGAAACATTGAGGAAGACTAGAAACTAGTATCTATCTGGAAAATTTCAAAAATAGAGATCTTAAAAGCTTGAAGAGTATCTAAACTTTCTTTCATATCCAGTTGTATCATCTTGAAGTATAAAATTTGTTTCAAACATAACCCTATACATTATGAGAAGAACTTTAAAAAGCAGGCCCGATCAGTCCATTAATGTACAGTATGTGGCACTATATCAGATCATTACTGCTCAGCTGATTGGATGAAATATACTGAATACTAAGATGGCCCAAAGCTTCTAAATTACAACAGTATATGCCTCATATGAAGCCACAAAAGTAACAAAATAATCTCATTATTAAAAGTGTGGGGCTGGGGATTTAGCTCAGTGGTTCTGCCGCCTGCCTTGCAAGTGCAAGATCCTGAGTTTGATTCCTGGTACCAAAAAAACCAACCCAAAACAAGTGTGCATATTACCATATAAAACTCAAATTTCTTTGGTTAGAAATGCAGACACCATCAGTATTTGAAAATAGAGTGTCTGAAACCAGCACCTAAAAGTTAGTCTTTATTCTCAGATCAGCTGCTACATTAAGATAGTCTTGCTACAATAAGAATTGTGTACACTCACAGTTTGAAATGCTATTTTTAAAAGGAATTTGATATAACAACAATTTACATTTTGTTCAAAATATATACTTTGGAATGATCCAAAAAAAAGAATCATCTTAAGTTAAAATGTATCTTCACACAGATAAACCAATTTTAATGTACAACAATTCCACTTAAAATTGTAGCAAAACAACGTGTAACAGAAGTTAGTACTTTATAAAATATTTAACCCATTTTCCAGTTAGCTGATGAGTTACCACCCATTGACTTACGTGAATTGTTCAAAAATGGTGCAAAATCTGTAAACAAATATTTTATGTTGAAGAAAAAATGCCAAAGCTGTTTGAGCATTTTTCTATTTATAAAGCCATCCCATCAATTGAGGTGGTGACTAAGAAGTAAATATCCTGTTCAAAAGTCAAATGTTCTCAATTACCTACAAGTAGGTATTGCTTTATGATTTTTTTAAAAAGGCTTTGATTCGTGTTTTAGGAAACCATGTCTGAGGCACATGTGAGGAGGACCAAAACATGAAAATTATACTTAATTTGTAACTTTGGGACACAGTAATAGCCAAACAAAACCTTAATACAAGTGACTTAATAGACACAGCACCTTTTTCAACTTTTTCATATACTCAATCTGTTTTAATTTCTTGAAATTTTCTAATTTTAAACATATGTCATTTTTCTTTTAGGAAATGTAAAACTATTTCTAAAATCATTACTTCAGGCAATTAAATATGATAAATATTTATTGAGTAATTTGCCATTGCCTCAAAACTTAATTTTGAAAATCTCTTTCTGCAGTGAGTGAGATGAGAGCTACTGCAGGGCCCAGGAACGGTCTGGGTGTCCCTATGGCCAGAATTCACCGCGACTGGCCAGGCTCTGTTCTTGTCATCAGTAACATCAGGTTACATTTGCATAACACTGTCATCTTACTTTCTCAAAGAATGAATTCTAATCCTTCTAAATATTGGGCTACAAAATAGTTTCTTGTAAAGGGTGTTTAGCTGCCCCATTAGAGATTACCTAGGTACAGAATTTCCTCAACTGAGCATCTTGATCCCTACTGCCTTTCTTTTAAACTACATTCCTGGATCAGACCGAGTATTATATAAGAAAAAAAATACAAAAAAAGCAAGGTTAAGTAATGTACAGAAATTAAGACTGTATCTTGAAAATGGCTCATCATCAAATTATCTGAAGGCCAACCATATATGGATAGTGTTCACATCAAATTCCTAAATTTATTCATACACCTGAATGTGACTTGGAAAATTTTTCTTATCTACTCTTTTGTTCCCCCTTACTAAATTATGAAAGGAAACAGTATCTGTACCAATTAGGTGAGCCACATACTATACACATCTTTCTGGGGAAAATTAGACATACAGGCATCAAAGACTGATTTAAAAATACATAGACTGGGCCCGGGATGTGGGTTAGTGGCACTGCACCTGCCTGGCAAGCACAAGGCCCTGAGTTTGATTCTTGGTACCAAAAAAGACAAAAAAAAATCTGCATGTCCAATACACATGTCTATTTTTTTTTTTTTTTTTGGTACCGGGGATCAAACTCAGGTCCTTGCACTTGCGCAGCAGGCGGGGAAACCACTGAGCTAAATCCCCGGCCCTATGTCTATTTCTTTTAAGAACTGTGACCACTCAGATGTATACATTTTTAAATTCAATACAATGAAAGTCTGTCAGGCCAAAGGTACTAATTATAATATTTATGGCTAAAAAGATCATATTTTAAAAGAATAGGGGCCAGGGATTTAGCTCAGTGATTCTGCCACCTGCCTCGCAAGCGCAAGGTCCTGAGTTCGATCCCTGGTACCAAAAACAAAACAAAACAAACAAACAAACAAAAAAATAGCCCATTGCTATTTTCTTTCTCTTTTTTTCCCATTGGTATTTTTTACAGAACAAAGGTAACTTCTGGCAGAAGCTTAGTACACACAAAATGAACAGGTGATGGAATCAATCCAGTCATCTTCAATACACAGAGAAAAAAAATTAAACTAGAGGAGGAGTGCTGGTCGCAATGTTTAGCTGGCTTCCAACTGCAATCTCTCCTGGTTCCTCCGGAGGGTTACACTCTGGCCTGAGGCTACCCCTAGAACAACCACTGCCACCAACACCTTTCTCATTAAAAATAACAGTGCCCTCAATCCACTCCCTGCAACAACTTAAGAAACACTGGCATTTTACTATTTAATTAAACTAATTCAAATATTGCTTTCAAGCCGGGCAAGGTGGCGCACGCCTATAATCATCCCCAGCACTCAGAGCCTGAGGCCAGAGGATCACTGTGAGTTTGAGGCCAGCCTGGGCTACATAGTGAGACCCTGTCTCAAAATAGCCAAAAAAACAAACAAATACTGCTTTCATTTACTTGGCACACTGTGAGTAAAGCAAAATATATCAAAAAGCTCATTTTCTAAATGAACTTTGGTCTTACACTAGTAAACTATACTGTCAAGTATTGAGAAGACATCCCTTTAAAAAAGACCTTAAACCTGTTGTCACCTTGATGTTACCTGGAATTAAGCTAATAAATTATGACAGTATAAAAGCAAGTTCAACAAATAAAATTCCAATTATTGCTTTGAAGATTATATATGACAGATTCTCAGTAAATGTTGGAGTTTGTGCCACTTTTACTATGTTCTATTTCTAATTTCAAGTATACACTTGGACTTTCGTGTAACAATATCCCAGTTAAAAACTCGTATCACGGACCAGGAAAACTCTAGTCTGAACCCAGGTAACATTTCTCATGCTCATATGCTCACACTATTAGAAAGTAATGTTCGCAGTGAAACTTTCTGAACATAGACCAAGAGTATAAATGGATAACCCATGAAACAATTCTTTTCCTTTTCCAGCTATAATCCTGCTGTGGGAGGAATCAAAAGGCCCTTATGCCTACATATAAAAAGGGACATATTCCAAAAATCTACTCTAAGATAAATTTAAAGGAAAAATTTAAACAATATCTTCTTGGCAAGTGTAAAAATACTCATTTGCATAGGTAAAACTCATTTCACATGTAAAGTGAAAAAATCATGGTAATCTTTACATTTTCATATGTAATCTTGGTTGTGTGTGTGTGTGTGTGTGTGTGTGTATGTAAAACTATGTACTTATAGCAATACTGCATACCCTCTTCAGTCCATCAAAAAAACACAGAACTTATATTAACAAGTAAATTCAATAAATCTTAATAAATATGACTTTAAAATATGATATAAAAGACAAGCCATCATGGTTCTGTTGGGTTCAACAGATCACAGTCTACAATGGAGATCACTTATATTGACTATTTTACCCAAATATCTTATGTATAGTTACATATTTATATACATACACTTTGGAACACTCAAAAGTACAGATTTGTTTTTACCATAATCAGTAACAGACTTTGGAGCTCGTTGCTCTGTTTCAGTATTTCTCTTCTTGTTCTTAGATTTCCAAGCATGATACACTTTTAGTCTCCTATGAAATTCTTCTCTGCAAGCTGCCAGGAGCTCAATATCTATTGATTACACAGAAAGAAACACACATAAAAAAAGGATTAACATCCTAATTTATTCATCTAACATAATTATTCTATGGCATAGATATATATAAAGTTTTTGTTTTTAACTGAATAGTACAAAATCAAGTTGTTCATAAAGATGAAAACTTCATAAAATTATCTTGTATATTTTCAGAGCATTTTTTCAAACATTATTACTATCATATTATTTGTTCCACATAAGAAATCTGGACTAAACAAGTCTTAAATATGAAGACACTGAATCAGAAAGGTTAACAATAGATTAAAGTCACTGTGCCCAAATATAAGCCAGATCCCCTCTCTTCCTCTCCCCCACCCTCCCTTTGGTTTGTAATTATGCAGACATATTCAGTGAGGAGGAAAAAGAACACAGTGTGAAATTACATTTATGATGCTTTCACTCCTAGTCAGCATCCTGAATTCCAACACTGATTTAAACATAAACATAACTACACGGGACCTCCTGAATACTGTTTTACACAACAGTTCTCCTGAAGAAAAATAGCTTTAAGAAGAAATGACTGCATTGCTATTTGTTACTCTGGATTCATAGGTCAAAAGATTCAGATAATACAGGCATTAAACTATTACAAGTAATATTAGAAGGGCCAGACGTAACTCTGGCCCAATACAGTCTGTATTAATTCCTCTTCTCTGACGTAGTAAGAAATAAGCAAAATGCATTTAATTTTACTAAGTATGTCTTTCTTTTGGCTTTGTGAAAAAAACCGTGACTTCATTTCAAGGAAACAAGTAAGAGTGGCTTAAGCTAATTTACATAGATATGACACTCCAACCTAGGCATTTATTTTATTACTAATCAGTATGGACCCTGAGCTGGGGTACAGCTCAGTGGTGAGGTCTTATCTGGCATGCATGAAGCTCTGGGTTTACTCTCCAGCACAGCACAGCTGAAAAAAGAGAAGAAAAACTCAGTATGGCCCTTCCTGTCTTTCATCCTCTCCACACACTTACCACAAGAAGTATTGATGGTGTCACGCAGTTCTGCGTATTTCCATTTACTAAGATCATGCTTCTTGGTTCCGGCAGCTGCCTTAGTGGCTTGCACAGCAGGGCCTCTGTAATTATTATACAATTTTGCATATTGAAAGTGGAAACATGAATGAAACACTGACTAAAGAAGCAAGAAAATGTAAATAAATTTGAGAACTGGATATAATCGCTAGAAAAACCTAAGTTTTGAGAGATGAGATTAAGAATGGTACTATGGCTGGGAGTATAGCTTAGTGGTAAAGCACGGCCTAACATGCACAAGGCCCTGAGTTGCCCCAGTACCACACACACAAAAAAAAGTATACTAAAAGATGCTCAGTTAAATTAAAACTTCCCAGTGTGCTAATCAATAAACATATTAGGTTTTTTGGGGGGTGGTTTTCCCCCAGTACTGAGAATTGAACACAGGGCCTAGCACTTTCCAGGCAGGCATGGTGCAGCTGAACTACATCCCTGGCCCTGAAACACACTAGGATTTATATCAACAGTACCACAGACTTCCCCCAGATTTGTTAAGTATGAACATTAAAGTTTAAAAATACCCTTATATATACTTTTCAAACTCAAGAGAGAAATTCTCAGCAGACAGGAAAGGTGGTGAGCAGCATGTGCCACGGTGGCTTGTCTGTGACCATCGGGCCTCACAGTCCCTGGCTGCAGGGATGCTGAGGGCCCCACTCCCCGACACTGCTGGCCTGCAACCTTGGGGTGCACCAGTGAGGCTAACTGCGCAGCTCACTGTGGCACCAGAGCCGCAGGACAGGCCACTGGGACATGCAGAAGAGTTCAAGAAGCAGACAGACACCCTCCTACTTAATGAGCCACAGTGTGACCACCAGTGCGCTATGGGAAGAGGCATTAGGTCAGGAGATTCACGAGTGTGATCTCAAGGGGTCGAATGTGCCGTCTCTCCCTGGCAGGAGGAACATGTGGACGAAGAAAGAGGGAGACAAACATCTGCAGCACTCAACACAGTCAGCTGATCACCACCGTGCTACTCAGGGCACTCGGCTGGGATTTTATGCGCTCAGAGACCATTCATCAGAAAACACATCAACAATTTCTTTTCTGTAATAACGTACATTATTTTTGAGCAAAAGATTATACATTGCGCAAGACAGAAACTTAGGATCAAGTCACAAGATTTTTAAGCTCAATGTAACACATGAAAAGATCAAGCACATCAGATTTCAAAATAAGGGAAGGAGGCACAAATATTAAAATAGGTAAGTACTGAAGAAATAAAACACTACTTCTTGGGTAACACACAAGGAAAGTCTCCTTCATCACCTACTACTTCAAAAACATTTTCTTCCTCTTAAAGAGGAAAATTACCTGAAAATTACCATATACTTTTTCACGACTTCACATTTTGAAAGATAGCATCAATCCTGGCAAACAGTCAAGATACAGATTACTTAATATGACAAATGTTACTGAAAAACTAAATTTGGAGCTAGGTGTGGTGGCTCGAGCCTGTAATCCTGGCACTGTAGGAGGCAGAGGCAGGAGACTCACAAAGTTCAGGCCAGCCCAGGTGCTTCAGTCATTCTGCAAGATCCTATCTCAAAATAGGGCTTAGGGTACAGCTCAGTGTGAAGGCCCTGGGTTCAATCTCTAGATCTGCCTCACACACTCACACACAAACACAAACACACACACACACACACACACACACACAAACAGAAATCTGAAAATGATGTTACTGTCTTCCTGAAGTACTGGAAATTACTTTCAATATTAAGCATAAAATGAAGGAAATAAGGAATCTTTGCCTCTTTAAAAGGCCTATGTGTGTGCTTTCATTTTAGAGGATAAAAAATAGCAAATTTCACACTGCATACAGTACTTCTGTTTGATATCATAATTGTTAGTTACATACAAGACTGGCTAAATAGCAATGTGTGGCCAATTTAGGTATTTCCTGTGTTTTTTGGCCAAAATCCGGTTTAGGTTTACTGCAGAGTCTATATTCTCTAAGCTGTGTAACTGGCAATTTTCCATGTAGCTTTTTATTCTTAATTGCTTTGCTCAAAAGACCCAGCTGTGTGTCAGCAAGCTCTCTGTTGCCCTTAACAATAAGGCATGCTTCAACATTTATTCAAACATTCTTTTTTCTTTTCTATATCTTAAACTGCCATTCAATCAACTGACCAAAAAGTTTTTTCTCTTTTTTTCCCCCATCTCTTCCATGAGTCTTTTCTGGATGGCAGCTGAAAATGATGGGCTTTGTTGTTGCTTTGTCTTTGTCTTTTTTTTTTTTTTGAAAGAGAAAGTTGATTTACATAATATACAGTTTTACAGATTGTCAGAACATACATTTTTTAAAAAGACACTGAATCCAAATTATTATTGCTTAAAATATCATTTTAATAGCACTAGCTTTTCACTCACATTACTTCAAACAAAAAATACACCTGCTAGGGCCAGGGATTTAGCTCAGTGGCACCATGCCTGCCTCACAAGCGCAAAGTCCTGAGTTCGATCCCCAGTACCAAAAAAAAAAAATACACCTACTAAAAACACATTCAGCATCAGAAGCAGCACATGAAGGCAGTGTATTTAAATACTCCTCTGCCCTCATCTCTGGAGTTAGTAAAATAGGAAAGTTAAGGTATAATTTACTGATTATTAAACTAGCTACACAGACAATCATGTAAATAACAAACGTTATAGCAAAATTGACTTGATTTTCAAATATACTTTAACACTTTTGATTAACTTGTATCTTCGAAATTAGCAATTAAGATGTTATTGATTTACACCCATTTATAAAGGAAATGGACCAGATTCTGCCAGGAAGCCCCGTGCTTTGGGAACTCAATTTAAACTGGTGGTTTTAAGGAAGGCTGTGGGGCAGAGCTCCTGGGCAACCACACTCCTCCCTTTCTCCCCTCCAACCAGCCTGGGGGGTTCTGTCGGGGAGAGGAAGGGAGGGGGCCTCTGCGGAGCTGGAGAAGCTGCTGCGCCCAAGACAAGCAGGACAGGAGCACCAGCCAGGCAGCATTCCCACAGTGTCAGTAATATTCCCCACTGAGAAACACCAATTTACAGGAATGGTGGAATGTTCTCTTTTTTTATGGCAGGATGATAGGAGGGAAGTAACATTTCTTGTTCAAAATTTACATAGAAAGAGTGGGCTATTCATATAACAGATTCTAGTCCAAATAATCAAAAGTAATTTTAACATATAATTTTGAGATGAACGTATTTCCCCAAATACAATGCACTAACCTACACAAAAGTTCTGACATTTCTTTGGCCATTTGTTCCCTATAAGAAAAATGATTAACACACCACATAGTATAAATTACTTAAAACACCTAAAGTATAATTAAAATTCTATATTTTATTATCTTAATTCATTAGCCGTTCACAATTATTTTACTCTGTAAAAGCTTGATATACTTTTCGACAAATCCATCAATAAAGTATGGCAAAACTTTTGTCTAAATATAGTTAAAATTGTTTGAATGCATCTCTATTTTTGCAGTAAGAACTTTTAGGGAAAACCTCATGAAAGCCATCCTGCTTCTGTGGTGCTTTTTAATGAAGAGAATATAAGTAGCACATTCTAAATGCACACCAGAAGCCTGGCAGAATATGGATGCTATACAAGGATTTCTGCACCAGACTTGCTCAGTGAATATTAACTAGGTAAGGCGGGACAGTGGTAAAGCACTCTGATGTCTTCTACAGTGTCAGAGTTTAAACAAGAGTCTGATGTATTCAAAGCTCTAAAATTCCAAATCAAAGCATGTCTTTAAAAAAGAAAAAGAAAATCAATGCAAGCACTTAAGTGAAACCTTCTAAGGATAAATATTTTCCAAAGGCAAAAATTTATTTTTCTTATATTACCCAGGAGAGTGTAACTTTTCTCAGTATTTGCTTAGTTCTTTGAAATAGTTTCATGGTGTTTGCGAACACTTTGTTAATTAAGTTCGTTATTTTATTTGTCTAGCCTTTGCTCTTTCCTTCAAAATTAATCATTTCTCCTTTATTCTATTAATTGGACTCTGGTGACCTCAAAACCTCACAAATTGGTCAAAGTCACAAGGAGATAAATGGGGCATGGCTGCTTCCCGGAAGCCTGGGCAGAGCTGGCCAGATTACAGGAGCAGCAGTCTCCTGTTCCTCCTTCCTTATAACCAACACTGGTCTATCCTAGCCAGCAGAGTCAGAGAAAAAGAAATCTTTCCAAACTGATGAGAAAGAAGAGCAAACAAAAAACACACAAATACCATGCAGTACAAAGTGTCTTTTGAGCCGTAAACTCATCAATCTCTCTTGAAGTTGCTAGTTTCTCAGACTTTTCTAACTTTCAAATTCAGAGCAATTTTGGAATTTTACTGCTATCATCACCCTACCTCGTGATTTCTCTTTTTCTAAGCCTTCTCCACTCATTTTCCCACAGCAGGTTTCCAGGGAGCCAGCTTTTCAGAGCCCCTTGCACCTGCTGTACTGACTGATGTACAGTGATTCCTGTGTGTGCCAGTCACTCCCTCCCAATTCATCACCCCAACTGACCCGTGTCAGCAAATCCAGCCTATACCACACTACACCTGTTCACTCAGCAGAAGGCCCCTGCATGTCTAGGGCTTTGCTCCTTCTGATTTCACTCAACTACAGGCAAACACTCACAATTCCATATTAGACACTGTTGCCAGGCTTACTTAATTCAAGCTCAAATGGTAACTATAAAGCAGCTGTCCCATGGAGAAAGGACAAACAGTGCCTACTCATAGATACTTTGGAAAGTTTTGGTGCTGCTGAGGTCAGATGTGCGCGTGTGCTCTTGGCGGGTGTTGAGGTGTGGATCAGAAATTCTAAATGTCCTGCACAGTAAGTCCCGTAACCTATGTATCTTAACATGTCTGCCAGACACAGAAAGGCAAGGCACACATATAAATACTTCATATGTAAACAAAGCTTTACATGTAGTTTTAATACAGAATTCTAGGAATGCAGATGCTGTGTAATTGAGGGGAAATCTATACTTAGTTCTGTTTGGAACATAAAAAAGAATTGTTCACAACTTCCTGGCATTTGAGCACCTAATGCAGCACGTCTGTATCAGTTTTCATTTGCAGCTATAGCACTCATGGTGATTCCACGTATGAATAAAATATATCTGATTACTTGATTATGTCTTCCGGTCCAACTACACACAAGCACTTTCATATCAAAGTAAATCAGTATTTTATTATAAATGATCTTTTTATTTCTCCTTTATGAGTACTTCTGGAGAGAATTACTGTATTTACATAGTTTATAACATTTATAAAATATTTTTTATTCACACTGATGCCTGACAGTTGAGAACCTTCACTATAAAGATTACACTGGAGTCCTTAAAGCTGTCAGATGTCAGATTTATATATATTCCAAAATATTTTATTTATGCAGAAGGTATATTTTATTTATATTCCAAATGTTAATAGGATTCTATCTCTACAGGAAGACTTACATTATAAAAAGATAACTTCAGATTATGTCTACTTTAGATAGTAGTAGAATTAACTATCATATATACTAAAAACTAAATATACTATTTATTCTAATTTATTCCTCCACACCTGCTGCTAAAAGATGTAAGAGAGAGTTAAAAACACATAAGACAAACCAGTATTAAAGTTTAAACAAAAACAACACAAAAAAGGAAACCAAATCATAAACTACTATAATTAAGTAGTGAACATTTTCCCTAGGAAATAAAAAAATGAGTTATCTTGTTCTCTTTTTTAAAAAAAGGAAATAACCTAAAATTTACTCCAAGAAAGAAACTACTTTTTCCTCCAAAGTATTCACAACCTATTTTTAAAAATGTAAAGGGAGATGACGTACGGTGTCATTTTGGGTCTTGTTCCATCATTTCTGTGGAAAGAATATATTTCAGTTAATATCATGACCAATACTGAATTGTAAAAATCTGGACTATGTAAATTTGTGGTGTGGTAATTATTTTACTCACTGATTTAAAAACTTCAATCACCTTTAATCCACATAAAATCATTCCAAATTTTGGTATATTTTTAAAATATTCATTACATTATAAAGGACTAAATTAAAGATGTTCAATGAAAATTAAAGAGCAAATACACCTAGATTGGAAATTTCATATACTGTGAGATTCATTCTTAAAAGAATCTGGGTATTACATTATAATTTCAAGCAATTTTCAATCATCACTTTGCATCAAGGATCATATATGTAATTGATTAAGATTATATTTTAAATCATATTACATATATGGAAAACAGTTCTTACTTAGAAGTTACAGGACAGGAATCCAAGCTGGAAAAGTAACTTAAGAGTTTTTTACTGAAGCGGAATCCATCACACATATTAATACATCACAGAGCCCAAGAACAACCTCTCATGCTATTATCTTAACAGGTTTCCTTAAAGAATTACCTTTCATAAGTATGCCATGGAAAGAACTCAGTGTTAACAGGTGTAAAATACATATTCAAGAACCTTTTGTTATAGCTCACAGAATAAGACAAAACTAGCAAACATGGAATGTCTGTACATCCTCATAATGAAGTGCTCATGCTCATGGTATGGAGTATAAGGAAGGAGCTCAGGAGGCCCCAGGCTTGGAGAGGAGGGCTGGTGGGGAGGCCGTGAAAGGGATGTGGAGAAAAGAACATGGCCCCTAGGGCCACCACACAGGAGAACTGCGACTCACTCTGCCTTTCCAGCAGCAGAGGCTGGAATACCTCCTTACTGCATAACGCTCCTATGACCAAATTACTCTGCCTCAGTAAAGCAGGGTAACTCTACACTTGTATGGAAGGTCTTCAGGGCCACCTTCTCCTTGGGTCCAGTCACCCTGGAACTGCACACCTTCCTGCAGACAGCCAGTGACTTGTGCACAGCGTGCGGAACAGCACCAGATGTAAGCTCACTACTTCAACCACACATGTGTAAGCTCAACAGTGCATACCAATGATGGCTAGTGAACACGGCCCTAGACAAAGCAGCCCCACGGGGAAGCGTCCTCCTGAGCCTGCCTAGCTAATGGGCAGTGACATACAATGGCACCAGCAGCCATCTTGGCAAACACAGGGACAAGGACAGGAGTAACAGTGGGGCCCAAAAGTTCAATAACAATGAGCTATTAGTGAAGAGCCCAAGCACTGGACTCAAATTCAAGAGCTAACAGCTAACAGCTATAATACCTTCTGTCTGCATGGCCTGCTCGGTTCAGTTATAGCATGACAAGTCAGCTTTTAAAACCCAGAGATTCTCCAAGATTTACTCACTAGAAAAATGTGCAGAAGCAACTTAACAAACCCTTTTCCTCCCCATCTATGTTCTCAGCTAAATAAAATCTAACAATTTGAATTGCAGTTACCTTACAATTTGAACCCAGGGTTTTTTGTTTTCTTTTAAAAAGAAAATGGCTCCCTCTAGTGGTTGTGATTTAACAATACTGTAGAGGTTGTTTCTGTTTGTTTCTGGTTTCTTGAGAGGATCTCGCTATGAAATTCAGGCTGATCTTGAACTCACTATGTAGCCCAGGCTGGTCTCAAACTTGAAGCGATTCTCCTGCCTCAGCCTCCCAGTGCTGGGATTACAGACATCCACCACCATGCCTGGGCTTTCGTCATCAACCATATTCTGAGGTTACACATGATTCTCAGTATATACACAGCACATATGTGGAAGAACTCTAAAAATTAGTCTTGCCTTCTTTTTACAAATAAAAAAATCAAAATAGGTGAGCACAATGGCACACACCTGTAATCTCAGCACTCTGGGAGGCTGAGACAGGAGGATCACAAGCCCAGCCTGGACAGCTTAATGACTTACAGAGACCTTCTCTCAAAATATTAAAAAAAAGTTTAAAGGGCTTGGGATGTAGCTCAATGCAAAGGCTCAGTTCAGTCTGTAGTACTGCCTGCCACCCCTAAAAATCAAAATAACTGTTTCTATATTCTAAATTTTTAACATGAAAAATATTAAAACTTTTCCTATAACTTCATACAAAGTATTAAGAAATTCCATATTCTTCCTGCTCCCCTATAAGGTTAGAGATAATTCGGAAATCTGAGAAGCCAAAATACTTCATTATGATTAACCTCCCTTGTAGAAAAGGAAATCCATTCACAGCGGGGGTAAATTGTTCCTCATTTCAAGTGCTCAGGAGTATGAAACGTTAAAATAGAATCCTAACCTCAAATATATTAAACTGCATTAATTTCTATCTCAGTGTTAAATTTCTGTACCTAGAAATTAGTTGTCTACCCAATATACATACTCTTCAGGCAATTTCTGAGTTCAAGCTGAAATATTTTCTTGAGAGCACTCAGCTGAAATTTTGCCGTTTTACTTTTCAAGAATGTAACGATTTTATGAAAAAAATCAATTCATTTGGTTATCAAAGTAGATACAAACAATGTTGAAATGAATTTACCTCGGATCTACTAGGGGCTGAGAAGCAAGACTTCTCTCCCCGCCCTTGGGACAGAGGTGAAGACAGCGGAGGGGTGAGCCCGCCCGGCAGCCCCGTACCTGCGCAGCGCCAGGTCGCCCTGCGCCTCATCGCTGATGAGCTCCGCCTCACTCCGGGCGATTCGCAGAGCCAGCTCCCGGTCCCTGCGCTCCTGCTCCAGCACCGCCTGCTGCTGGGACTCTTCCTCCCGCTGCCTGGCCAGCTGCTCCTCCACTTCCGCCTGCGAGCCCAGAAAGCATCTCACCAAGAGCCCTTCACTGATTACTTGCTCACTGCCATATTGCTTAAAGTAAATGGAACCCTTAATGCTCCATCCGAGTTCCTTTTGACCTTCCTTACCACCCATAAATGTCTTCAGTCTCAGTTTTCTTCTATATTATCAAAACCTCACTTCCCCCAAAGTAAGAGTATGAACAAAAACCCTAACTCCACATCCTGTGACTACAGCGTGAGCATGTCAAACAAGACACAGTACACTAGGTGCTGAATTAACACCGACACCCACACTGCAGGCATCAGGAAGTCGGGTGCTGGTTGTGCTGAAGGATGGACTGTGAAAGCCTAGACAAACACAACTCAAATACACGAGCGGTTATTCCCAGAAACAGCCTTTCCAAAATCTAGGGGAGGAGAAATACCTTTATCCTTCCTATCAATATCAGCACCTGCAGTTATAAAACATCTTAAAACATAAAAATCATGTTCTAAGTATTTCCCTAATTTCCCCCAGGGATGGAACAATACCGATGTTTACTGGATAGGTACTGTGCTAAATGCTCTCACAGGTAACCACTATTCATTCCCGACCACAAAGGAAATCGGCTCATCTGCTCACTGGCTGCCTCAGTTTCCATGGTGACGGGAGCCTGGCTGTGAACTCCTCCAAAGCCCCACCCAAGAACCACAGTGACAGCTTGGCCAGCAAATCAAAATCTGACTTTCACTTTTTAATTATATTTTGATAGAAATTCAGTTCTGGGAGTACAGACCTGAATACGTTTTTCATCATCTTCCCTTTTCTTTCTCTCTTCTTCTTCTTGTTTTCTCTTTGCTTCCATCTCAAGTTTCCTAACAAAAACCCAAAAATTCTTCAAATTTAACAGCAAATAAGAAATTCTTCATTAGGCAAATAACTATTAATAAACAAAAGTAACAGCGTGGGACTTTAACCTGTTGGCCACATACACTACTGACTTATTTTGAATAAAATAAAATCTAACTCTACTGACAGTAATTCTTAAGTAAATCAAAGAAATTCTATAACCCTTACTGCCTCTAGGTGAATCTGGTTGAGAAGCCTACCTGTAAGATCTTAATTATAATAATTCCTTCTCTTTCCTCTCCAGGTAGACAGTCCATACTCACTCTGTTGACCCTATCATGGGAATCTTCCAAAATGCTTTAAAACTGCAGAAAAGTCCAAGTGCCTTTTTTCTACCTTATAAAATAATAACCAGGTCATTGCTTTTTTAAAAAGTTAAGATGGCCAGGGATTTAGCTCAGTGGTTCTGCCTCCTGGTTTGCAAGCAGAAGGACTGGAGTTCAATCCCCGGTACCAAAAAAAAAAAGTTAAGCTATACCCTGGTAAAAGAGGCTAATAAAAGCTAAAGACTCCCTTGTCTGAAGTGCTTGGGACAAAAAACATTTCAGATTTTAATTTTTTAAATTTTGAAATATTTTCTCATACTTTGCCAGTTGAGCATCCCTAATCCAAAAATCAGGCTACATACGACAAACCCATAGCTAATAGTACAATAAATGGGGAAAACCTGTAAGCATTTCCTGTAAAATCAGGAACTCTTGCTGCTCTTATTCAATGTACTAGTAGAAATTTTAACCAGAGCAGTTATGCAAGAGAAGAAAAATAAAAGGAAAGGGAAATACAGGAAAGGGAATACGGGAAAGGAAAAAAGTTAAATTACCCTCGTTTGCAGATGATATGATATGATATGATATGATACCATATACAGAAAAACTAAAAAGATTCCATCCAGAGACTGTGAGCATTGATAAGTGAATTCAGGTGCTCTTCTATGCACCAACAATGAACTTCCTGAAAAAGAAATCATGAAAGCAATCCCATGCACAACAGCCACACAAGAAATAAAATGCCTAGGAATAAACTTTAACTATGGAAGTGAAAGACCTCTACAGTGAAAAAACACTAAACACTGAAGAACAAAATGGAAGGCAATACTACAAGATGGATTTTCATGGATTGGAAGAATGAATATAGTTAAAATGTCCAGACTATTCAAAGCACTCTGCAGATTCATTGCAATCCCCATCAAAACACCAATAACACTGTTCACAAAATTAGAAAAGACACTTCTAAAATATATATGGAAGCACAAAAGACTGTGAACAGCCAAAGCAATCTTGAGCATAAAGAGCAAAGCAGGAAGAAGCAGCACCACACCTAATATCAGTACACACTACAAAACTACAGTAACCAAAACAGTACAGCACTGGCACAAAACCAGAAACACAGAGAAGCTGGGCATTGTGGTACATGGCTGTAATCCCAGTATTTGGGAGGCTGAGGCAGAAGGATCCTCACAAGTTTGAGGCATGGTGAGTTCAAGGCCAGCCTGAACTACATAGCCAGAACCTGTCTTTAAAAAAGAAAAAGAGAAACAACAAAAAACCAGACACACAGAGAAATCTAGAAATATATGAAATATATTTTTAAATATATTTTTAAATATATTTAAACTCGATAGCCAGATGATTCTCTACAAAGATGCTAAAAGATTCATGGGAGAAAAGACAGCCTCCTCTTTAACAAATAGTGCTGGGAAGACTGGATATCCACATGTAGAACACTGAAACTTGACCCCTATATCTCATACCCTGTAAAAAAATCACTCCAAATGGACCAATGACCTTAACGTAAGACCTAAAACTCTGAGAACATGGGGAAACACTTCAAGATACTGGTACAGGCACTGATTTTTCTGGAAGACTCCAAAAGGCTGGGGGAGCAAAAGTAGATAATTAGGATCACATCAAACCAAAAAACTTCTGTTCAGCAAAAGTAATAATCAACAAACTGAAGAAACAACCCACAGAATGGGAGAAAATATTTACCAGCTATTTACCTAAGGGAGGCTTAATATCTAGGATATATAAAGACTCAACAACAAAGTAATCTAATTTTAAAACAGACAAATGATCTGAAAAGACACTTCTCAATTTCTGGAGAATGACCTGGAGATGCTTTTGCATGTTTAATACCAGAACCAGCGTTAGATTCTACCTATGGGATTTTTCCAAAAAAGAGATTAAAATCCAAAGCCCAAGAATAACAAAGGAAAGATGCCACATGTGAAAAATGGGAAAGAGGCCTGTCTCCACCACCACTGGACCACATCAAAACTGACTGATAAGTATGGAAAAGGCATAGGAAAAAAATTATTCTGTTCATATAAAAGTATACTCAACTTTTGTTGCAAAAAAAAGACACTTCTCAAAAGAAGAAACACAAATGACCAAGAAATATATGGAAAAATGTTCAATATCATTAGCCACCAGAAAAATGCATAACAAAAATACAATGAGATACTATGTGACCCCAATTACAATGGCCACTATAAAAAGCAAAATGTGAGGATGTGGAGATAAAAGTAATTGTGAACTATTACTGATGGGAATGTAAATTAGCAGAGTCATCACAGAAATCAGTATGGGGGCTCCCCTAAAAAGTAAAAGTAGAACTACCATAGCATCCCACTCCTAGGTACACATCCAAAGGAAATGAAATTAGCTTATAAAAGAGACAGCTGTGTGCCCGTGCTCACTGTGGCACAACTTAGTAGCAAAGATATGGAATCACTCTAGGGGCCCATGAACAGATAAATGGGTAAGGAAAACATGGTATATATATACACAATGGAATATTACTCAATCATAAAGAAGACAACAGGCATGGTAATACATGCCTGTGGCAAGTTTGAGCCCAGTCTGGGCAACAGAATGACTTAGTGAGAACCTGTCTCAAAATAAAAAATATTTTTAAAGAAGCTGGGGATACAACTCACTGTAAAGGCCCTAGATTGAATGCTCAGTACTGCGAAGAAGGAGGGGAAGAGAAGGAGGGGTGGAAAAAAGGAAAGGAAAAAAAATAAAGGAAGGAAGGATGGAAGGGAGGAAGGAAGGAACAAAGGAGGGAGGGAGGGAAATAAATCTGTCATTTGCAGCAAAATGGATAGAACTAGAGCCCATCTTGTTAAAGGAAACAAGCCAGACAGAGAAAGACAAGTGCTGTAGTCCTCACTCATACTGGAAGCTTTTTAAGAAACATCAACCTGAAAATCCAATAGCTTATGAGGGACTGGGTGCACAGGGAATGAAAGAAGGTGGCCTGGATATGAGGCAGACACACTGTGCGAGTATACAGAAGTACCACAGTGAATCCCATCAATATATACAATTAATATGAGTTCATAAAATAAACAAAATGAGATGTGAAATTTGAGCGCCAACACAACACTGAAATTTCAAACTTCGGAGCATTTTAGACTTCCGACTTTTGAGTTAAGGATGCTCAGCCTATAGTTAAAATGATTTTCAGTAATTATAACATTTTAAGTAATTATTATAACATTACCTTATTTTCTAATTCAAATTTATTCTAAAATTAATTCATTAAAATCAGAATGCAATTTTAAGAATAGTCATTAGTCACTGTCCACACCAAGCCACCCTTCTGTTAGGTTTCCAAGTCAAAACGAGAGCATAAATGCCTTACATTCTCCTTTCCTCCTCTTCCTTTCTTCGATGCTGTTCCTCTTCCTCTCGTCTTTTTCTTTCTTTTTCCATTTCTTCTTGAATATGCCTTAGCCTTTCAGCTTCCTCTTCCTGCTGTTTTTTTTTCTGTAATGCACTGAGGAGCTCCTCAGAGCTTTTGACCAGTGCATCATATTCCTTCTGTATTTGTTCCCTTGTCATCATAGTAGACTTGAAAAACAAATAAGCATGCACTTAAAAAGTTATTGCTTCCATTGCACACCAATAAATATGCTTAACACTACTGAAATGTATTCTTGAAAACTAAGATAAATGTAATGTTTTCCACCACAGTTTTATTTTTAAAAAACTACTCCAATTTGTACATAAGTTTTTAAAAAATGGAAAAACTGATAAGCAATAAATTCATTATCTTTGCTGTACTGTTTGTACAATTCATAACATTCAAACTTACACATTAACCCTGCACACAAATATTTGACTCTATTTTTATCAATCAAATCATCAATATCTGAACATATAAAACTGCGAATAAAGTAATATAACTGCAGTTAAAAATTCTCTGTAAGGAGTGATTTGTCCAGTTAGCCAAAATTGGTTTAATAATATTGTTCAAATAGTACCTAAGAAATATGTTAGAAACTACTATATGCATCTAAAATTGTTGGATAATTTTCCTAAGTTAGCTTTCAAAAAATGTGGCTGGGTTAATTTTAACTGATACTGATACCTCATAAATAGGGATGGCTCATGGCAGATGTGTAAAAGCAACTCCGTCCATACTGGCATTTTCACTCTCCTCCTGGTCATCACTTTCCTATCTACCTCTATCACTGACTACTCATTATCTACATTAAATATCTGCATAAAATACGACACTGTGCTTACTTTAAGGTACTAATAGCCACATAATTGTACTAAGCTATGAAACTAGTTGAGAAAAACAGTAAAACCCTAAAATATAATTGAGGAAAACATATGGAAAGATGAAAGATGATTAAGATACAAGCATATAGAAAAAATTTCAAATGAACAGTAATCGAATAAATGAAAATCATACAAAAAAATGGCCCTATTTTTCACCTACAAACTTGAGAATGAAATTAATGAGCATTTTTATAAGTTAAGTAATGTCATAGCCTCTACGAGATAATGTGTTAACATGGACAAAGCATATGACAAAATGGCACAGACAGAAAATTAAATGTGTATTATGGTTAAGAATTATGTAAACATGCATACATATAAAATGAGACTAAAAATGGAACATAGCATACTAGCTGACTATGTTAGTATGGGGGCATAAAAGGTTTTTGTTCCTTTTCTTCAAGCTTTCAATTATGTTAGTAATTTAAAAATCAGTTCCCACGGGGGCTGAGGGTGCAGCTCAATGCTGGAGTGTCTGCTTAGCATGTTACAATGCCCCAGGTTCAATCCCCAACACTGCCACAAAGAATAAATAAAATAAAAATTTTAAACATTAGGTAAAAGAGCATAAAATAAAATAATTTGCATGAATCCTGAGTCATAACTATGCAAAAGCTTAACAATGAAGTATACTATTTTTACTCTCTGGAGAGGAAAACATATTTCTTTATTAAGATGAAATTGAGAGAGGAACAGAGCCCCACCCAGCACAGAGGAGGTGACCCTTTGGGCCCACCATACCACCACCTCCAGCACATAGGAGCAGAGCCCCACCCAGCACTGAGGAAGTGAGCCCCACAGGCACCAGCAGCACATATACTTCCCCCCACCCCGCTGAAATGAGAAGACATGTAAACAAGTCTCAAAACTTGTCTTCCAGATCACGTAAAGCAACCCCAAAGGGAAATGAGATGGAACAATCTGATACTCAACCACCTGGACTCCCTGAATTGGCAACAAAAGAGGATCTGGAAAAAATGAAATCAGAAATAATTTCTCAGATAACAGCAGAGATTGTGCCCATAGTACAAGACATGATTAATAAATCCACAAAGGACACACATAAAAAAATAAGAGGAGCTGAGGAACATGACAGAAGCCCAACATAGGAAACAAATGGAATCTATAAAAGAGATGCAAGCAGATTCCCAGATTGAAAACTCCACTGAAAGTTTATGCAGCAGAATGAGCCAATGTGAGGACAGAATTTCAGATACAGAAAAAAAGATTGCAATTAGTGACCAGAAAAAGAAAAATTGCTTCAAAATTGTAAGGGACCACAAGAAATCAATCCAGCAGCTGCTAACACCATGCAAATAAGAATAATATAAGACTGAACAGAGTCAATGAAGAAACAGGAGAGAGTGCAGATGACATCAAAAAACTGTTCACAGAAGTAATGGCAGAAAGCTTCCCAAGCAGGGGAAAAGAATTTGACATACAGATAAGTGAGGCATATAGGACTCCAACTAGCCATGATCAAAAAAATTTACACATAGGCATATAATAGTTAAGATTCCAAAAACCCAACAGAAGAACAAAATTCTACAAGCACTTAGAGAAAAGAAACAAATCACATACAAAGGAAGGTCCATCAGACTCAACAGCAGACTTCTCAATGCAAACCCACAAGGCAAGAAGAGCTTGGAGTGATGTATTTCAATCCCTACGGGAAAATAGTCTCCAACCCAGACTGATGTACTCTGCAAAAGTATTTTTCAAAATTGGTGGAGAAATAAGATACTCATGACAAAGAGCACCTTAGGAGCTTCATGAATAACAAACCAGCACTCCAAAAAATTTTAGACAATACCCTAGAAAAAGACGGGGATCACAATATCAGGAAGCCAAGCAGAATGAATCCATCAGGCATGACAAGAAATTAAATGCAAATGGGGAGAATCCAACAAAAAAAAAGTCATGGCAATGATAAGTCAATACACATCAGTTATAACCATCAATATTAATGGTCTCAATTCACCAATCAAAAGAAATGGACTGGCAGAATGGGTCAAGAAGCAAGAGACAACAACATGCTGCATATAAGAAACACAATTCAAAAGCAAACTCACAGACTGAAAGTTAAAGGGTGGAAAACAATACTCTATGCGAAAGGAACCCGAAAAAAGCAGGAGTAGCTATCCTCTTTG